TCGTGCGTCTCGTTCAGAATCCCCGACTTCTCCTGTCGAGAGGCGCCTGGCCACGGTGGGTGGTGATCGGGCCGGAGATCCAGTCGTGGACTTCGAGCCGACCTGCAGTTGACGCAGAGCAGCTGGATTCGCTCTTCGAGCAGGCCAAGAAGCAGGGCAAGAAGAGGAACTTCATCGCGTACGTTGATCTTCGATCGTTCCCATCAGAGATCGACTGGCCGCGCAGACGAGCGGGGCACTGAGGAGTCAGTGCGTGTCAACGTGTGCGCTGCAAGGTTGATCCATTCAACGCTCAGATCAAGTTCCCGCCGGCATGGTCTTCTTGGAAGAAGAGTTCGATGGGTCGCGCCAAGGGCACCCAGTCCTGGAGGCGTATAGAAGATCGTGCTGCCATGAATTCTTTTGTGGATGCTGAAGAGTACGATCGAGTAGCAATCTTTTTTTGCAGCCTCCGAGGATCCGCGTTGACGGAACATCGTATTTGTGTGCGCCTCTGCAGTTGGATCAGCATGAGGTGACTACTATGAATGCTAAACAACGTGCCAAATATTGCACTGGATGGCGTAGCATCAGTATGCAAGATGACTTGTTGTCTGCGCGTGTTGCCGAGCTGTCCGCGCCGGGCATGTCTGCTACCGACGAGGAGATCGTCGAGAAGGTGATCAGGAACACCGATCTGGCCTCGGTGCTGCTCTACGTCGTCGGCGTCGCGTTCGCCTGCTCAGTCTCGAGCGACGCGGTGGTGCGCCCGGATTGGGGGCCACCGATGGCAGAAGACATCGTCGAGCGCAAGCTTGATCTCGTTGTCGCCTACGCATCAGCATCAAATCCTCACGCTATCAGTGATTGTTTCTGGTTGGGCTCAAAATCATGGTCCTATAATTATTGCACTAGGTTATGAACCTGGTTGCTCGAGCCTTGAGGTTGCCAGTGCGCTATACTCGTACTTCGAGTCAGACGCAGACATCGCGAGTCAGAAATTCCTTGATTTCCTCAGAGAGTTAGGTCAAATGGTTAGACTAGATAGGCTAGCACTTTCAGCTTTCCCCGCTGAAGCCGCAGAGGAGGGAGCTAGAGACGACGTGGACGCGATCGTCGGTGATGACGACGTCGCTACTGTCTCTAAGGGGCGCTTGAAAGATGAAGAACAATATATCCTAGAACAAATTAGCCCGGCGAGGGGCCCAACCGCGTGCAGTTGTGAGTGCCGCAATTGTGAATGCCATCTTCGCTCGCGCCCCCTATGTGGCCGCGGCTTCCCGCCGGGGCCCGACGTGCTCAGGGGCGCGTTCGTGGCCGTCTTCGCGGGCGCCGACGACGGCAGGGGCGGCGCCCCTCTGACCGAGGAGCAGAAGCAGGAGAGGGCTGTCAGAGCCACGAGGGAGGAGGTGTCAGTGCGCGTCGAGAAGGCGGAGTGCGACGCCCGGGCGCGGTTGTTGAAGCAGCGCATCTATGGGGCCACGATCCTCGTGAGGGGTGTGCCGAAATGGCCCGGGGCCACCCTGGGGGCCCTGCCACTGGGGGCCTTCGGTGGAGCTCCTGTGGGGCCACGATCTTCGTGGGGGGTGTGCCGAAATGGCCTGAGGCCGCCGTGCGAGCCCTGCCACTGGGGGCCTTCGGTGGAACTCCTATGGGGCCACGATCCTCGTGAGGGGTGTGCCGAAATTGCCCGCGGCCGCCGTGCGAAACCTGCCACTGGCGCCTTCGGTGAAGCTCCCTATGTGGCCGCGATCCTCGTGGGGTGTGTGCCGGAATGGCCCGAGGCGGACGGGGCCGACGAGTTTTCTCGCCAGGCTGCGATCCGGGCGTCTGCCAGGAAAGCGTTCGCGGAGCACGACGTCGGGGGTAGATAGGCAAGGGCCGTTCTCCGAAAAGCAGCGCCATTAGCCGGGTGATATCAAGTGGGTGATGTAGTGTGCTTTCGTAAAAGGGCCGACCGACGGCGAAGTCATTGCTAAGTGGAGCATTGTCTCTCGTATCGTTGGGTTCGATGGCAAAAACGCATGGGCCATCACAGAGGGTGTACCTGTTTGCGTGGCCGTCGACAGGCTTCGACCGTGTGCTGCGGCGGAGGCGTTGGCATATACCAGTATCTCTCTAAGCATCGCGACGGTCGAGTCGAAAGATATGCACCTCCAGACGGACAACAACAGTCATTTGTGGGCGAAGGGCGCGAGCTGCCATAACCACGGGTGCATGAGCATCCTGTACATGAGCATCCAATGGCGGCGGAAGAGCTGCTGGGGATCCCAGGAGACCCCGAGTTCATAGAAGAAGCATTTCGCCAAATAGAAGGATATGAACTGTCTGAAGGAATGGTCGTTCCTGTGACGCCCGCGTCGAGGTCGCCGCTGGTGGCTCGAACGCCCCATTCAGAGGTCTTTGCTAGACGACGTCCCACGTGGTATACACAGTCGTAGCAAAGTGATGCGCAGAAGAGTCGAGAATGTTGACGGTAGCGCGGGAAGGGTTTCCGATCTGCCCCGGAGCCAGCTCCCGAGCTGGCGAACCCGCTTCTTGATGCCGTGCGCAGGGCCGGAACGTCAGGGCCGGGCATGGATTTGCTAGCCCGCAGAGAAGCATCACTCGCTGTTAAGCCACGTGAATTTCTTGTCGGATTCTTCAATGAACGCACCATTCATAAGCCGCAATCCAAGAAAAATATAAAGTTCAAAGAATCTGGTTTATCATCGAGAACATGAGAACGTTAAAAGCGGTTGACGACTGGCAAGACAGGACGAGTGGGGAAAGTGGCAGAAGTCCAACGCCGCAGTGCCCATGGATTCCGCGGAGCTGCAAAATCTCCTCGACGAAGGATATCGCATGGTATTTGCACAGTGGATGGAGATTAACCAGGATGAGCATCTCCGCAGACCGGGAGGACCTCCGGTTGCACCGCAGTACAAGGGTAGACTTGTTGTACGCGGAGATTCGGGGGAGTCGTCGGGTATCCGCGCGGATTTGCCAACGTGCGAAGTAGAAGTGCTAGGGTTGCCAGTGTCGTGAGCCGCCGGCGCAAGGAAGACTCCCAAGTATGCCGACATTGCATCTGCGTGCTTCCAGGGTCAGGAACTCGACCGCCTCGTGCTGCTCAAGCCGCCGCCCGACGGACTCGAAGGAGTGCCGGATGGTGGGGCACTGATCGCGCGCGTGCCTGTCTATGGCGCGCGTGGCGCAGGGCGAGGTTCATGGGGGAAAATCCGCAGCAGGTTTGAAGCTCATGGTCTAATGGGCAATCGTATCATGCCCGTTTTGTTCAATATTCACAATGTCAAGCATGAGTTCGCGTGTGTGCTAGGTGCAATGTAGATGACATGCGATGGGCTGCAGGCGGTGAAATTCAGAAAGTCATAGATTCGGAATGAGCAGAGTTTGATATCCGCGAGATCAAGTCGGATAGTTTCCGTTATTGTGGTTTAGCAGCTGTTCAAGATGAAGATTTCACGGTGAGTATCGCGGTCGAGGGTTCTATTGAGAAGATCGAAGCTGTATCTTATCCTAGAAACAGTCCCCTCACGAGAAAATTCAATGAGGGTGGGACATCACAGCTCAGATTGGTCGTGGGTGATTTGTCATGGGTTACGCGTCGGTGTAAACCTGAGCTAATGCATCGTGCAAGCAGGCTGCAGACAGCAGCGTGTCACGCTAGGGTACTTCATCTCAAGGAAGCCAACCGTGTATTAGAAGAAGCAACACTGTCAGCCGATTGTGGATTCACGTTTAAAGGTGGAGCTGTTAAGTGGGATATTACCGTTGCTGACGCCAGCTGGGCAGGGGAAGAGGACATAGTCAAGGGTAGAATCGAGCCTCTCAGATCACACAGGGCTAGGTTCAATGGATTCGCAGGGCCTGGGTTCATCGAGGGGAACAGTGATCATGTTCACCCTAAATGTATATCTCGTAAAACTATCAAGCGAATATGTAAATCTACACTGCACGCAGAGACTCTGGCTTGTTTATGGGGTGTAGAATCCGGTGTGCGCATTCGTGCCGCCATCGCATATGTTCGTGGGATGCTCGGCGCCGGAAAGGAGCTGCCAACCAATTGGGAAGACACATCAGCCACGTCTATGAGACATTTATGGGTGACGGATTGTAGAAGCCTTGGAAACATATAGTGGCCCCAACTATGGGCAATACATAATATAAACGCTTGAGTATTGATTTAATGTAGTTTAAGACAGAACATTCGGACTAATGGCATGGAATACGTAGGTATCTTACATTCACGCATATTTTGTGATAAGATTCGATGGATCGATACAAGTATCATGGCTGTTGATTCTCTGACGAAGAATATGCCCTCGGATTTCCTTGTTAATATCTTACGTACTAGTTCGTATGACGTAACTCCATACCCTGAATCTACTTGAAAGAAGGTTAAAAAACAACTGGCGAGGGCCAGAGTGAATGCTATCCCATCGGGGAAGTGAGTGACTGAGTCCTTGCTGCCTCGACTTGAGTAATCCTAACATTGGAGTGCTCCTTTTTTATGCTGTCCCAGAGAGGCTTACTTAGACCAGTGGTACTGCGCGGTCCGCCGACAAGCTCGTGATTCACTGGTGTGAGAAGGTGCATGCATGACGTGTGTATACGCACCACTCGCCGCCCGTCCCCGCCGTTTGACCTCTAGGGGCCCCTTTTGGCCAGTGCGTTAAAATGCATCATAATTACCATGACGATGCCGATGACGATGCCGATGACGACGACGAAGACGATGATAGTGATGATGGTGGTGAGGATTGTGGGTGTGATGCTGTTGACGATGAGAAAGAGGAGCGTGAACCACTTTAAAAAAACTGACGAGGAGGAGGAGGAAAACGAGGAAGAGGAGCAGGAGGAGATGACAGATGGCAAGAAGAGGCGGAAAAGAAGGGTAACGCGAGTCGTTGGCAGGTGGAGAGGTGAATGGGGAGGGCATTTGGGGGCCTGAGACCGACTGGCTGCGTGGTCGTGTGGGCTTGCGAAGGCACTGGGAGTGGAGTGGAGGCCGGCCCAAGGCGTTGGAGTATATTCAGTTCGTGACTTGCTCCAGGCCAGCCCCCCAGTGCTGCCCGTGCGCCGCTCGACATCCTTTCCCGCTCTCTCGCCCTCTCGCCATCACTTTGTTTTTTTGTTTGGTCTCGTTCTCTTTCGCTTTCTCGCTCTCTCTCTCTTTCTCTCTCCCTCTCTCTGTTGGCAAGAGAACGCCTTTCGACTTTGAGGTCATTTCGGGTTCGGAGGCTGTTTACGCGGCATCACGGCCGACGGGCATCATGGGTGTTGTCTTTCCGTGCGGCGCATGGTCATTCGGCCAGGAGGTCAAACATCATCTTGGGGCCCAGGATAGCCCTCGCCGGGCACTGGTGGTGTGTAAATGCCATTTGCGTATGGGTACCCACTAGCCAGGAAAGAGAGAGAGGGATAATGGGATACACGGGCCATCCCTGGCCACCCTCTATTTTTGCCGCTACTGCTCCTCGTCACGCTGCTTGTTTGGCGCAGGCCCCGCGGCTTCAGAACATGGCTGAACCCATTTGCGATAGCACTGCAGTCAATTGGAATACTGCTTCAGGGACTTCACAGTCACGATACGTGCTGGCAGAAAACGGTGACACATGGGTCCCTGACACGGCCCAGGTGACTGGACAACTTTTCCTTGATTTGGGCCTTTGGCTTTGTAGTTCGCCATGAACGCCGAGAGACGAGCGCACGCAGGCCTGCCGCTCGTTAAGCCCGCTGGGAGGCGCGCCCAGCCGGGGCGAGTTTAGGGACACGTACCCTGCGACGGTATATCTGTGCATGCCACAATACGCACTGCTGCAAGCCAGACCCTGCAATGCGTGAATTTGCTTTCCCTCAGGTCAATGGATGATTATGGAGCCTTGCTTCCTTAAGCTCCGCCTGCTCCTGCCACTTCTGCTGCTTCTCCTGCTGCGTCTGAGCTGTTCTCACCGCTGCTGCGGCCAGGCTCCAGGTCGCCACTCAGCACATCTTCGCCGTGCTCCAGGAGCCCTCTCACTTGCATCCCCAAACCTGCCCTCCGCTGCTCTGCTTCGTTCCCTATCCACCTTTTCCCCTTTAAAAATCACCATCGCAAGCGCAAACCACCACTTCCTGGAGCACACCAGCGTTTTCGATTCGCCGCTCCTGATTCGTGTACTTGCTTCTCAGGATTCCCAAACGTCTTGTCTTGCATGTGCTTGTCCTATCGCATCGTCTTCGACCGTTCGGCATGGCGGTTTCGCACCGGTGCCTGCCACAGTTCTGCCCCTCAGCACGTGACTTCAAATAGAGAGTATCGGTGCTACTCTCCTCTCTCCCTTGATCGATCGACCACATTGCTTTTCAAGAGGCCTTGCGGTCAGTGCCGACGACCCTCTATGCCAGGAGGACGAGCAGGAGTAGGAGGAGGAGGAGAAGGAGGAGGAGGAGGAGGAGGAGGAGGAGGAGGGGGATGAGGAGGAGGAGGAGGAGGAAGAGGAGGAGGAGCCTCTCCCTCCTCATCCCCCCTCTCCCGTTGCCTCCTGCGTTCCCCCCCCCCCGCAGGAGCTGGAGGCCTGCGCGAGCTGGTCGCAGAAGTTCGGCGGCATCGGCCTGGAGCCTGGTCCAGTGGGGCACGCCGCCCGCCCAGCGCGCGGGGAGGAGCGGCTTTGGCTGGCTGGGGTGGCTCGTCCAGGAGAGGGAGATGGGGCGGAGGGCGCCACGCGGGCGGGCGCGGCTCTGGCCAGCTGGGCTGGAGGGGGCGCTTTGGTACCATGAGGGGGTGGTGTGGGACCGATATTTCGAGGCCTCTGGCCCTAGAGGCCGCCAGTGGGCCCCCGGAGGCCACCAAGAGGCTCCCACGAAGCCCCGTGAGGCGCCCAAGAGGCCCCCAGGAAGCCCCAAGAGACCCCCAAGGGGCTCCCAGGGAACGCCCAAGAGGCACCCCAACACACCCCAAGAAATCATGTCCCCAGAAAGCCTTCCGGGGACATGGTTCATCACGAGCCCGAGAGCTCCCAGAGGCCCCCAAGGGGCCCCCAGGGAACGCCCAAGAGGTCCCCTCAACACACCCCAACAAACCATGTCGCCAGAAAGCCTTCCAGGGACATGGTTCATCATGGGCCCGCGAGTCTCCGGAGGCTTCGAAGTACCATCATGCTACAGGAGAGCTGTCTGGGAAGTTGGCTGGGAACATGACTGATCGCCTTCTCGCGGCCCTCCGCATATCGTTTCGCACAAAGTTGCCCAAAGTGCCCTCTTGAACCGACGACGACGACGACGACGAAACGATGAAGACGAGGACGACGACGACGACGACGTCGGCGCGCCCCAAGAGGCGACGACGACATTTCGACGACGACGACGGCACGCCCCGACAGGCTCCCCAAGACGCCGCCCAAACCCATGCTCCTGGAAGGCCTTCTGAGAACCCGATTCATCCGGCCTCCGCCCCCCTACGCAACCATTTTTTCCGAAAGCATTTCGGAATGCGGGTTTGGCATTCGTGGACTGTGGTCCGCTACTTCAGTGGAGCAGTGAATTCATCAAGGCCTGGGGCCTGCTAGAACCTGAGCGCGCGCGAAGCGCGCGATAGTTCTAGTATATGTGTACATACATATATAAATATGTGTATACATATATACGTACATATCTATATAAGGCACAGCGTACGAGTTCCACCAACAACCACGGGAGAACGAAGACGCATACTAATGATGCTAGGACGAGGAGGAGTTCCAGGAAGAGGGGGGCATAAGACGGAACAGGTATGACATTTTGGGGGGAACGCTCACACACATGCATACATACATACATGTATGCACACACTCGAATCCAATACATATGTATACCTATACATATAGGTATGCACATGTATACATGTACATACACACATACATATTGACATGGGTCAGCCATCGTTGCCCCCACGCGGTGTATCATTGCACTGACGAGGTGGCAGCCATGCTGTATAACACATGCCCTGTTGTGCAAGCCATCTTGTGTGACTTGCGGAGGTGGACGCGATGTTTAATATATGTCGTGTAAGCTATGTCGTGTAAGTTCTGCGTTGGGAGCTGGAATCAAAGCTTTCGTATGGTCTAAGCAACGTGGTGTAAACTATTCATTCTAAGCTGTGTGATGAAGGCTGTGTTGCATAAGTTCACGAGGCGCCCACGCGGCGGCGCGGGCGGCAACTTGACGCAACCCCGACGTAACATGTAATCGCAGGGTTTCCACGGGGCGCTCATGAGGTGCTCGTGGGGAGGCACGGGCGGCAACGTGGCGCAACCTCGACATATTCCCCAACGCGGGGCGCCCACGCGGCGCCCACGTGGGGGCAGGGGCGGCATCGTGGCGCAGCCTCGACATGCCTCCCAAGCGCGGCACCCCCACGATGCGCCCGCGAGCAGGCACGGACAGCAACGTGGTGAGAACCCAAAATGCTCCCCAAACGCCGGGCGCACGCGAGCCGACACGGGCGGCGACGTGGCGAACGCTCAGCATGCCCTTCGTTTTCCTCGAGCAAGAAAAGTATTAAGCTTTAAGCGCGTACCCGGTTTGTGTATACGTGTGTATATATTATATTTATGTAAATGTTTTTTCGCAGCAGTGGAGGGGAAAGCGGCAATCTCATAAATCCTTCAAGCTTCGCGTATCCCCACCAGTCACGCTCCAGCCTATGCCGCACTGCACCGTGCAGCCCCCCCTTTTTTTTCACTACGTGACTATTGCGGCGGTTAGCTGCACCCCCCACATGGGTTCCCACAGACGGTGTGCAACTGCCCTTCAGTCGCGTACTTCTTGCGGCGGTTAGCTGCGCCCCCCCTTCCACACGCCCTGTCGCACTCTGTGGGCTGCAGTAGCCCTCCTACACCCGCGCGACACTGTGTTTTGGATTCTCGGCCAGCGTCTGCAGTCGGTGGTGGTTCCGTTGGCCGCGCGCCGAGTGGGTCAGCCTTCGGCGTCGTCGGCCTTCGTTTCCACTACGTGCAGCTGGCGTCCCAGGCTGGTACATAGTTGTCTGTGTGGGCAGTTGCTCGGAGCTTGGCGCCGCAAGGGCGACTTACTCCGCAGCTTGCACCTCTGTGCGTAAGGTGCGTCCCAGTGAATGCTGAGCATTTTGCCCAGTGCACGTGCAGTGCACGCCTCGCGTGGAATTTGCCTGTTCCGCCGTCCCGGACACGCCTGTTGCCGCCAGACCATTGTCGCGCGGCCGCCGACCAAAAAGTATCCCCACCAGCGCCGATCCCTCGCCTCTGAGCGGCGCTGCGTTTGTTCCCTGCTTCTCATCCCTCCATTCGTCGTCCTCGTTCGTCTTTCGCCGCTCGTCTCGTCGTCCCCTCGTGCTTCCCCGCGTCGCTTCTTTTCCGCGCGTGCCAGCTGTAGCCTAGGCTTCTGCCCTGTTCCACGTAGGCCTGGCTTTCGTTCTACCCACTGGCGTCGCGCGGCCTTCCTCGGCAAACGGTCGGTAAGCAAAAACGTATCCCCGCCAGCCCATTCAGAAGACCTGCCCGACAGAGCTGACGGGGAAAGAGCAGAGACACATAATGAGACACAGCTGGCAACCAGGGTGAATAGAGACCTGTGGGAACCAGGGGGTGGCCTTGGAGGGCCTCTTCGGGCCATCCCTGGGGTTCGCGTGGGGGCGAGGGAAAGGAGAGAAGGAGAAGGAGGAGGAGGAGGAGGAGGAGGAGGACGAGGAAAAGGAGGAGGAAGAGGAGGAGGAGGAGGAAGAGGAGGAGGAGGAAAAGGAGGAGGAGGAGGAAGAGGAGGAAGAGGAGGAGGAGGAGGAGGGAAGGGGGGGGGGGGAGGGAGGGGAGGGAGGGAGGGAGGGAGGGAGGGGGGAAGCGGAGTGGAGTGGAACCCGTTGCGCAAAACAAGTTGGTGATATGAGCATCGGATTACATAGCATTCGACCGCCTGGCCTTATGCTCGGCCTGGCTCAGGACTTTCGGCTTCCTGTGGGCCGCAATCCGATCGAGGTATTCCTGCCGATTCTTTTTGATCCTACCCGAGCACGGCTTGCTAAGAAGTTCATTCTGCTTCTCAGCTATGGCACCACAGGTGGTGCATAACCAGGCATATAGGGTCGTATGCACATTAAGGGTGTGAGATTGGTGCGCCCAAGCCCCCGCTATATGTATACGTTCCCCCACCTTAGGAGACTTAATAACCCCATCGACGTTATATAACTCGGGGCACGGAGTGGTCCACCACGCTTTCATGGTGGCTTTCGTAGCCGAACAAAAAACATGTCAGACACCTTTGACGGTCTTCAGACAGGGCATGGCTCGACAGGAAGGCAGCAACCGCACTAGCAGAGGGAGGGGGGGAGGGGGAGGAGGGACGGCAGGGGCCTTCCCTTTCATATTCCTGGCCTCATACCCAGCGGCTTCAATAGCCGTCATGCTGTCAAGCGTTGCTCTGAGCAACCGCATCCGTATCCGAAATATCTGATGTTCTTCCTGCAGAACTCGTGCCCGAATATGTTCAGGAACTCTGGCCTGGATGGCTGCATAGCCTGCTAGCTCGTCCGCCACGGCATTGCCGACAATCAAAGCACTGCATCCCTGTCTTGCTGCCGTCTGCTTGGCCGTGTGATGTGAATGGGTGAAGAGAATTGTAATCCGCCTGCCTTTCGAAACTGGTGCAATATGATTCCAAGCGTCGGCATCCTGACCTGAAAACGTTATCCGCTTTGGATGCATACCAACCTTCAACTACGTAGTCGCAGTCAGTGACAAACACGAGAGATCCCCGAGTGTGTGTGTGTGTGTGTGACTGCCAGGAGAAACGCAGCCAACTTTTCTCGGGCCACGACTTGCCTGGGGCCCGTCAGAGGCCCCGCGATGCAAAAAGTAGCCTCAGGGACTCGAAGATTGGTCATGCGCACGATCGCGATGCCCACTCTGCGCATGATGACTGAGTGGGTGTCTGGACCCCCGCTAGCGTCTGCGAAGATCCAAATGTGACTGTGGTCCGAGCCGTGCCCCATACATCCTGGCTCCAATCGGTCAAGTCCTGCGCGCCACCAACTGGGTTGATCAGGGGGTGGGGGAACAGCAACCAGATGCTGAGGTAACCAGCCTCGGAGTCAGTACGCCTCGCGCGCGTAGGACTGTGCCAAAGCCTTTGGCACTGAATATTCTGAAAACGAATAGGCCTTGGAACCGACATTCTTGGGGCGTGTCCAACATATATGCAAGGGGGACTCATCATATTGGCGGCAGCGATCACAGATCCCGTCGACCGTGTACCGAGGTAGGGTGTCCCGCTTGCGTTGTTTGGTCCATGCCCCTCCCGTTGCAAGATTTAGCATAACTTCCGTTAACCTTGATCCATGTCGCTGCTGCGCTAGGTGATCCAACAACTGCCGTGACGAGGCGTTGCTGATGCCATCTTCCATACCTGACCCACAATAGTGTTGGCTGGCCTTGCGCCACGGGAGCCTGTGCGCTGTGTCCTTGACGTCCTGGAACAAGGCCGCGTGGCTGTCCAAGGCCTTGACACCCGTGTATCAGCTGTCGGGAAATTTCCATTCTTCCTCAATCCCCTGCGGGCTGATGTACAACCACGCTGACGGGGGCGTGGGGGTCCACCCCAGCCTCAGAAGCTGAAGTGCCACCGCTGAGATAGGACCCTGAACTGCACGTGCATGTTGCATTCTAGTGACCACTGACGGCCATGCATGTGCAATGCTTTTCCTCAAGTTAGGATGTGACTGCCACATTGAGAGCCATAGGTCGATCGTGCGCGTGGCCGCCGTGACTGCTGGGTCCATGCCACTTGCCCTCAGGTCGAGCAGCGTGGTGAGACAGCGTCCCTTGGTAGCCGTCGCGCAAGAGTCGCCCAAGCGCCTGCGGCACTCTGTGAGTTGTTGCCCAAACATCCCATGTACCTGGAAACCGTAGCTTCCAGCTGGTTGTGCTCCTGCTTTTTCCAACTTAGAAACCTGGCGATACTGCTTGGCGGCCTTCGCGAACTTCCTGATGTTGATGCTCATCTGCTTGTGTTTAGCATCCCTTTTGACACGTTGCTCTCGGCCATGACGGCCACAGCTGAAATCGACGCCCAGGTACGTTGACTGTTTCACTGCAAGCACTCTGAAGCCACGTAGCCGCACCGCCCTCGCCACTGCTGTAGCGTCCTCCATCTTAGTACACATAACAACCGATTTCGGAGAAATCTGGAGCTTCCTCCTGGCTAAAGCTTTGTTTATGTCAACAATCACTTTGATAAGACTCTGCCTAACTGACTTAGCCGAGCCCGTGATCGTCTGTGAAATATCGTCTATCCAAACTCGGTGCCCCATATGTGGGCTAGAAGACGTCACTGAGTACATGATGAAATGTGTCATGATTCGTGCGAATCGTGTGCCCGACCGCAGTCCTTGCACTATACTATGACTGGGTTCGAATGGAACTGACGCGGCACCATCTTGATGGAGGCACCTGCACATCACACATTGAACCAGTTCCAAATAAAGAATAACTGGAGGCAACCCCATCTTGAGTGCCGCTCTTGCTTGCATATCCCATTGTATAGAGTCGTAAAATTGATGCACATCTATGATGGCGTGTCCGAAGTTCATCTTCATGGAGTGCGCCATCTCCTCGTCGATGGCCCTGAGGTAGGCCTCTCTTAAGCTAGAACTGCCCTCGACCGCCGCATCCCATGCAGCAGTATTCTGGGATGACCATGATTTGACCGGCGGCTCACGAAGCAATGACCAGAGTCTCGCCACCATCGTGAGGATACCGATGGCACGATCTCCAGTCTGCTTCTTCGGAATAAGCCGACAAAGAACCATCATCAGCTGAATTGGCCATGCGAGTGTTGATTCAATTGTCTGAAGGATAGAGGCCATCTCCGAAATTGCACCGTGCGGCAATCTCTGGATGTCCACCGGCGTGAACATGTCCACCCCGAGGCCTGCTCCCGCCGACATCTTGGCTGCTGTGGCGTAGATATCCTCTGCTTGGATGGGCGCCAACTCGTTGAACTCAGCGTCCTCCCGAAGGACTCGAAACGTCTCGACCGCCACCTGCCTGTCCATCGGCACTGGAACCCACAATCTGGTGAACTCCGTCTGCTTGACGTCCATCAGGTCCTTGGGGTGAAATACTACCACTGCGCCCACGATATTCTCCTGTGGTAGGAGCGGTTGGGGCTTCAACGCCCGATGAGGAATGCCTTGAGAAGATTTGTCATTAGAAACCCATTTCTTAAACTCCTGCAGAGATTCATGTAATGAGGTCCGCTGGGCCCTTTCCATGATCTTCCGCGCCGACAAAACATGCAATCCGAAGTTCTCGACCGTGACAGAGAGCGGGTTCTGGAGGATGGCCAACCAGTGGTCCCAAGCAGGGCCTTTGTCAGGCTTAATCAACAAGTGCGCGCCTGTCGGACGAGAACCGTGAAGGCACAAACACGCCGTGACGAACTGCTGGATTTGCTTATCACCGTTGCCTCTCTGCCGATGGCCTTGGAGGCCTTGGAAGACTGTGTGAATCCTTGTCCACCACTGACTCCTTTGATCACGAAGTGGTAATTCACCACGTATGTGTAGAGTCTGCCGCAACGACTGGACAGAAACACTCGGCCCCGCTGCGCGCGAAGGCCCAGGAGTAGCCTGTAGACCGTGATGAGACAGGATGCCGGCCTCGGCCGCTGTGGCCCAAGAAGCGTACAAGCTTGAGACCGAAGAGCACCCAGCAGGGTTAAGCCAAAGTGCTACAGACGGGCGAAGATGGGGCGAGACAGAGGCCATCGTGAGATCACTGGGCACAAAACCCACGTCACGTCTAACCGTGGACCACACCTCAGCTGGGATGGCGAAGCAGACAGGGTCCGCCACATCAGGATCACATCTCGAGCTCGCATTACGACCAGTGGGCGTCGGGGGGTCTCCCAAGATAGGCGGGGGGTCGGGGGCCTGAGGCGCCGTAGAATTGACGCTGCTGGACTGAGCATACTGCCTAGAATCCCCCAAGCCCTCGATCACCTGCTTTGGGGCCGAACCACCAAGAGAGGGCCCAGCCACAACCCCAAGAGGAGCCCCGACAAGCCCAGGGGCCCCAGACGGACCGTCGACCGACGGCCCCGACGACGACGGCCCCGCAGACGCCTCCAAAACAGTTGAAGGGGCGGGGTCCAAACAACAAAAGTTAAGCTCACCTGCCCACGGATCTTCTTTGTCGAGCAGAAGGGCCAAATCAGGGTCAGCGGCCTCGCTATCCCCTTCATTAAACACAACAGCAGTGCCAGGAAAAGTGGGGGCATGATGCTGCTCGACGCAAGGGTGACAATCCCCAATCAATGCTTCATACATCAGAGAGCGTTTTTTCCTGCGCAGAGGCTCGGGCCACTGCTCGCTCCAGCCTGGCACGTGAAGACTTAGAGTCAGGCGTTGGCTCCGTCTTGTGCCTCGCTGCCTGAGGGAGCTTCCTCGGGAGATTCAGCACACGCGTCTGTAGTAGCAATCCTGAACTTCTCAAGCGGATCTCCAAACCAGTGTGAGGTCGCCACGGGACCGCTCGCACCTGTAGGATGTCACATATGAATGGCAGAGAAGAGCGACTGCAGACCAGGTAGTCAATCATGGTGTCGGGCTTGCCCTTCTTTTGCTTGCAGGCCCCCTCCAAATCCGCGGTGCGGATGACGGCGTCCAGCTGCGGGGGGAAGCCCGCCTTGGTGAGAACGTCTGGGGTCATGTTAAAGTCCCCGCAAAACACCCGCGGCATCTTCAGCGCCTTGACCAGAGCTCCAATCCGCTGGAACCGAAGCCTGTTCTTGCCGCGCATCTGAATAGATGGATGTCCGTAGAGTAGGATGAATGCCATCGAATATCCTGCAAACTTGAGCACCATCGGGGGGAGCCCGCCCAAGGCTGCTTGGTGCGGGTCTCGAAGGTGCTTGGGCGCAACGTAAGCATCCTCCAGCTTCCGGGCCTGGAGATGAGCTTGTGCAAGGAAGAACCCACCCCCTTCGTTTGAGTGGGCCGTCTTGTTCTTCCCCACGGGTTTGCCAGAGTGACGTGCAGCATAGTGATGCAATCGGAGTCGTAACTGACGACTCTTGCTGTCAAAATTCCTGAGCTCAGACTTCAAGTGAACATGAGTCTCCGTCAGGGCAAACTATGACAACTCTCTGGACTTGGATTCGACAAGACCCTGGTGATATCTTCTGCCTCCCCATGTGCCTCGACTTGTGCGGGTCGGGACTGTCCTGGCCCCCCTAGCCAATGGGATTGATCGCCTCCAGCAGCCGAGGCCGAGGCAGCCGTGCCCTTGCCTTTGGCTTTGGACGCCAGAGCAGCCGCTGCGAACTTGGCCTCCGACAACTTCTTGGCCTCCTCCGCGATGCGCTGCTGCTCATTGGCGGTGGCGTCCTCGGGAGCCGACGTGGCTTGGCTGGTCGTTGCCGCCGCGGCGGGGCCTGGGGGCCCCTCGGCGGCTGCCTCCCCTCCTGGAGTCGCCTTCGGCACCTCGGCTGTCGGCTGCTCCTCCTGCTGCTTCTTGCCACTTTCGGCCTTGCGTTTCTTGACAGCTCGCTCCTCGATGATACGACGATGCTCCTTCATGTCAGAGAGCCACTGCTGCAACTCCATTTCCTTCTCCTGGAACTGGGCCTGAGCCCCTTTGGATCTGCTGCTTGAGCGTCAGCAGCGCTGTCTTTTCCTCGGGCGTGGCGTCGAGGCCGTCGATGCTGCCGAAGAACGTCTCGTCCCATTCCACGTTGAGTATCTTCTTCTCGCTTGCTTCAGCCCCCTTTGGTGCGACGCCAAGACCTTCCGCCCCTGTGGCCGCAAGGGCAGCCACTTTGCGGGCGCCTACCGCCTTCGCCAGGTTGATGGCGGCCTTCGCCTTCGCCAGCCGCCAGGTTGCTGCGTATGCGAAGTACTGCAGAAGCTGCTTGTTCATGAATGTGTTCGGCGTTGCGCTTGGCGCCGTCGGCGCGGCGCAACGCTTCGACCACACCCAGCTCTGGCTCCTTGTCAGCAGCCTGGTTGAGCTTGGTGATCTGCATCTCAAGATCCTTCTTCACGGCAGGGTCGGTGACCGCCGCCAGCGCCTGGCGGAGGTGGTGTTGCGCGCCACCGTCCTTGGAGCCCTTGCCGCCGCCACGGTTCGGGGAGGACGCCCGACGCAATCTGCCTGCTGGAAGAGGCTGACCTGGAGCTGATTCGGATTCGTTGCCGCTGTCCGCATCATAGACGCCGTCATCGTCCTGACCCTCGTCGAAGTGGGCACGACGCCTCGGGCGAAACAGCTTGACCTTGCCAATGCATCCACTGCATACAAGATTCAGGCGGCGCAAAATGATATTCCACTCACACCTATTGCAGCTGTCACAGCGGGTCCACCGCTTCTGATCCGCAGCCATTGCAATCCCGTGCGTTCGTCGATGTACGTTCTAACCTGGCAGTGTAGAACGGACAAAGTCCCTCAAACGCTCCTCGGAAGCCCACGGGATGGGCCCAAAGCTCGGGCCCAAGTTGCTTGAGGGGAGGGAGGGAGGGAGGGAGGGGGAGGGGAGGGGAGGGAGGGAGGAGGGAGGGAGGAGGGAGGGAGGGGAGGGAGGGAGGGAGGGAGGGAGGAGAGGAGGAGACAGGAGGAGGAGGAGGAGGACGGAGGAGGAGGAGGAGGAGGAGGAGGAGGAGGAGGAGGAGGAGGAGGAGGAGGAGGAGGAGGAGGAGGAGGAGGAGGAGGAGGAGGAGGAGGAGGGGAGGAGGAGGAGGAGGAGGAGGAGGAGGAGGGAGGAGGAGGAGGAGGAGGGGGAGGAGGAGGAGGAGGAGGAAGACCAGGAAAAGGAGGAGGAGGAGGAGGAGGAGGAGGAGGAGGAGGAGGAGGAGGACAACGAGGACGAGAGCAGAGACATCTGGAGCCCTCTTGGGATTCTTTTGGGGGATCTTGGGCTCGTCTTGAAGCTGTTTTGGGTGGTCTTGGGCTCCTCATTGGGCCTTTTTGGGGCCGTCTGGGGTCCTTTGCGAGCCCTGGAAAACCTCTTGGGGCAATCTTGGAGACCATTGATCGAAAGGGCGGGTGGCAACATTTACTTCCCCCCTGGGCCCATCAACGTCGCCTCTTGGGGCACTCTTAGGTCGCTTTTGGGCGCTCTTGGGGCCGTTTGAGGAGCCTCTTGGGCCCCTCTTGGGGCGCTCTTGGGGCCTCAACAGCGTATCGGACACGAACACCCTGAGGTTCTTGACTGATTTTGGCCTCTTGGGGGGTCCTGAGGGGTCTTGGGTCCCTCGTCGGATCTCGTGGAGGTACGTCGGAAGCTGTCTTGAACCTTGGAGGTATGTCGGATGCTATCTGGAACAATCTTCGGTTATCGAGCTGCCTCGGAGGCCATTTTGGAGCATCGGAGGCCCTCTTGGAGCCATTTTGGGCGAAAAAAGAAGCCCTGCCACCTCGCGAGCCGCCCCCAAAAACTTCAGGGAGAGGGAAACAGCTTTTTGGAAGAGGAACGGGAGAACTCGTTAGGCCACCCTAGCCCGGAGGGCTTGTGAGATATGCAAGAATATGGAGGATCCTGGAATTTGTGGCAGACTTCGTGTCTATTGGTTCGCGTCCTCCTGGGCCGCTTAGAAGGCGCCTGCTCTCCGACGCCCGGGACTTCCTTCGGCTGACGGAGCTGCTGCTCCTCGAGTGCTCGCAGGCCCCTCGCGGCCCCGCCCGCGCCGTGATGCCTTCGCGCATGGGAGGCCCTGCTCGTGGACCGGGCCGACAGAACTCAGCATCGTTCGTCCGATCTCTTTCCCTCGTGGGTCATAGTGTCTCAGCCAGCCTGCCCACCCCACCACCCCACTTGGGGATAGGCCCCGCGAAACTTGAAGGGACCAGCCTATATCCTCATCCAGGGGGGAAATCGGCCAGTGGGACCCAGGCCACGCCAGTGGGGATTGGGATCGGCGAAGCGATGTTCAGCTCGCGGACTGGGCCCACAGAGCTGGTGGGCCACCCTAGGGCGCTTTGAGAGCGTTCCCGTCCCCGCCTCCGCGCCCTTCGGTAGCAAGTCGTGGGAGCCTTGCATGTCTTCGTAACTCCGTCTTTTGAATGCACTAGCGCGCCAGCGTCTGGTAATCGATGACAGAGCGCCGAATTAGTGCGGAGTAGCGTTTATTTAGCGTCGATTTAGCGTCGATTCAGCGTCGACTCGCAAGAGCAGCCAGGATGGCACGGGAGGCTCCCGTGAGTTGCCACGGAAACGCTTCTGGGTAGTGAGGGGCGGCACCCGCCTCTCCCTCCTGGCGCGCTTTCGCTCCCCCCCCTCCCCGCCCCCTCCTCCTCCCCCTATTATCGGTGTGGTCGCCATGGATACACGCCGGTCGTTGAAAGTATGTATCTTTGGAGATCCAGATCCCAATCTATTTCAATCGCCTTCCTACTTCAATGATCGATATGCTTTTTCCCAACCATCCTGTGGTGTTGGGTCCTCGTTTTGAAGAGACAGCGCCCCGCGTTCCCACCTTCCTCCCGCTTTCCCCCTCCCCCCTCCCCCTCCTCCCCTCCTCCACCCTGGGATGGGTGCCCATGGCGCTACCGTAAATGTGCCACACAGGGGCGGAGCCGCCTAATACTTACCTCGGCAGCCCACCTAGCGCTCTTTTCTCCACCGGCCCCTCTTTTAGAGGGCCCTATCCAGGAGTAGTCGCCACTCATGGGCGCGACTTCTCACTTTGCTGCACTAGTGCGGCCAGCGCAGCACATTTTAACAGCCTCGCTAAACAGCGATCGGCTAGGCTCACACAGCAATTCGCAGACTCGTCACGGCGGAGTCTCTAGGGAATGGGCTGGCCTAATACTCGTGGTTCGCCCTGGCAGCTCACTACCTAGACAGTCCTAGCCACAAGTGCCTCATGAGAGGAACGTGGCCTCTGCCCCGACGCATCTCTTTGGCCCCCGTCCAGGTGTAGCAGGGTCCCCTTGGTCCCTGTGTGCCTGTGAGGGGCCACACGGAGGTGGGTCTCTGTTGTCTGGTCTCGGCTAGCGCCCAGGCGCACCCACCTCCCCGTCGCGGACGGCCCGCACAGGCCTTTCAGCTGCAGCTGCAACTCTTTCAGCGCCCGTAAGGCCTGTAACTGTGCGGCATCCAGCCGGCACCATCTCAGGTAATATGGGATGGGCGCCCATGATGCAACCGTCAATGCGCCACACAGGGGCGGGGCCAGCCTAATACATACCTCGGCAGCCCACCTAGTCACTCTGCTTTTTACCGGCCCCCCTTGGAGGGCCTGTGCAAGAGTCGTTGCCAATCAGGGGCTCGACCTTCCACCTTGCCGCATGAGTGGGGCCAACGCGGCACTTCTTAGCAGCCTCGCTATACAGCGATCGGCTTGCTCACACAGCAATTCGCAGACTCGCCACGGCTGAGTCTCCTAGGTGGCGAGCTGGCCTAATACTCTTGGTTCACCTTGGCAGCTCATTACCTAACGATGCTACAGCACAGCCCCGCCGAGTAACTCTCGGCCAAGGCGGCCAGCGAAGGTGCCATATATGCAGACAGGCACCATGCCCCAGTGCGTCTTGGCTGCGCGGCTGAGGCAAGGCCGCGGCAAACATATGTGCCTCGTGGGAGGAACGCGGCACTGGCCTTGGCTTGTCTCTCTGGCCCTCGTCCAGGTGTAGCAGGGTCCCCTTGGTCCCTGTGTGCCTGTGAGGGGCCACACGGAGGTGGGTCTCTGCTGTCTGGTCTCGGCTAGCGCCCAGGCACACCCACCTCCCCGCCGCGGTCGGCCGTACAGGCCTCTCAGCTGCAGCGTACGCCCTGCAACACGGCCATGCCATTCCGGCCCTTCTTCCTCTCCCGCCTCTTTTGACTTCCCCAGCTCCTCCTTCAGTCCAGATCTCCTCCCCTGGAGGTTTGGACAGCCGCAATGCGGCCTGGCCATTTTGGCCCTCCGTCCAGCTCTTCCCTCTTAATAGCAGTCCGAAATTCGGAAGGCACTCCCAGGCAGGTCTCTTCTTTTTCCTGCCTCGCACTGCTCTCTGCATCGAGGGCTGCCCTTCTATGGGCAACGAAGCAGGGTGCCGCTGATGTCTCTCTTCGCACGGCGCTGCAATCTCCTCCTCCTTCGTTATGATTCCCTTCCTCCCCTCCCTCAGCGCCAATACCTCTCTCCTGACAGTTTTCGGGACGAGAGCGGAAGCAGCTCAGCGTCCATGCTCTCGGGCTTCTCGTGTGCAGCCTGTGCCAGTCCTTTTGGCCGCTGCGCTCAAGCTAACTTGCAACGAGCTAAGTATAGTCAAAAAAGCCTCCTCCCTCTCCTCCCTCCTCCCTGCGTTTCACCCACCCATTACAGCGTTTCGTGGCTCCATAGGGAGCTCCAGCAAAGGCCCCAGTGGCAGGGTCCGCATGCAGTTCCACCCCCATTTCGGCGCACCCCTCACACGTTTCGTGGCCCCATAGGGTGCTCCACCCAAGGCCCCAGTGGCAGGGTCCGCATGCAGTTCCACCTCCATTTCGGCGCACCCCTTCACATTTCGTGGCCCCATAGGGTGCTCCGCCCAAGGCCCCAGTGGCAGAGTCCGCATGCAGTTCCACCCCCATTTCGGCGCACCCCTCACACGTTTCGTGGCCCGATAAAGTGCTCCTCCGAAGGCCCCAGTGGCAGGGTCCGCATGCAGTTCCACCCCCATTTCGGCGCACCCCTGACACGTTTCGTGGCCCTATAGGGTGCTCCGCCCAAGGCCCCAGAGGCAGGGCCCGCATGCAGTTCCACTTCCATTTCGGCACACCCCTCACACGTACTGTGGCTCCATAGGGTGCTCCGCCGAAGGCCCCAGTGGCAGGGTCCGCATGCAGTTCCACCCCCCATTTCGGCGCGCCCCTCACACATTTCAGGGCCCCATAGGGTGCTCCGTCGAAGGCCCTCGTGACAGGGTCCGCATGCAGTTCCACCCCCATCTTGGCGCACCCATCACACGTTTCGTGACCCCATAGGGTGCTCCGCCCAAGGCCCCAGTGGCAGGGTCCGCGTGCAGTTCCACTCCCATGTCGGCGCACCTTCACACGTTTCGTGGCCCCATGGTGTGTTCCGCCGATGACCCCAGTGGCAGGGTCCGCATGCAGTTCCACCCCCATTTCGGCGCACCACTGACACGTTTCGTGGCCCCATAGGGTGCTCCGCCGAAGGCCCCAGTGGCAAGGTCCGCATGCAATTCCACCTCCATTTCGGCGCACCTCTCACACGTTTCGTGGCCCCATAGGGTGCTCCGCGGAAGGCCCCAGTGGCAGGGTCAGCATGCAGTTCCATCCCCATTTCGGCGCACCCGTCACACGTTTCGTGGCCCCATAGGGTGCTCCGCTGTAGGCTCCAGTGGCAGGGTCCACATGCAGGTCCATCTCCATTTCGGCGCACCCCTCACACGTTTCGTTACCCCATAGGGTGCTCCATTCAAGGCCCCCGTGGCAAGTCCGCATGCAGTTCCCCCTCCATGTCGGCGCACCCCTCACACGTTTCGTGGCCCCATGGAGTGTTCCACTTAGGGCCCCAGTGGCAGGTTCTGCATGCAGTTCCCCCTCCATTTTGGCGCACCCCTTCCACGTTTCGCGGCCACCAAAGGCCCTGGTGGCAGCGCCCGCAAGTGGTTCCACCCTGCATTTCGGCGCACCCCTCACGCGTTTCGTGGCCTCAGATGGGGCTGCACCGACGGCTCCTGTGGCAGCGTCCGCATAGCGTACCCGTGCCAATTTTGGCACACCCGTCACACGCGTCGTGGTCTCAGAGGGAGGTTCACCGAGGACGATACCCACACCTGCGTTACACACAGCTGCACATGGTTGGGCCCTTCGCCGGGATCATTTTTGTATGTGCTTTGTTATTGCTTGGGCGGGCCCGAACCCAATCTACTTTATCCGCCTTCCTCTCCATGTTTTCACGTACTTCTCCCGACTTGCGTAGTACGTACGGAAAGAACATGGACGAAGTTCTTGTCTATTTTGAGCAGGCTCGCTGTATGTGCTGCCGCGGGCGCTGTCCATTGGAGACAGAACACCGCCTGCCCATTGGGCGCAGCTGTCTCTTTCTGACAACCCTTACTGTTGGGCATTCTATAACCCCTTTCTTCCGTAACTATCTCGCGCGCGCGCCAATCCTCCCTTCCCCTCCTCCGCCTGCCGGAGGCGCAGCGTGGCGCCCCTCGGCACGGGGGGGTTGGGCGGGGAGGGGCGGAGAGGGACGGCAGGCTTGAGGGCCAAGTAGCTTGGGGATCCCCCTCATCTGGCCGTCAGCGCGCTCTCGCTTTCTTTCTCTCCCTCTCTCTCTCTCTCTGTCTCTCTCTCTCTCTCTTGGGTTGGAGCGCCTCTCTTGACTCAGTTGGGGGAGGGACTGCCTTCTGCGCACTGATGCTCGCCAGCCTACCTGCCGCAGACATCGTTTTTCAGACACGCTGGCCCTCCTTTGATTCGCTCATCTTCAGTTGCGTACGGTCGCGAGTTTGTCCAACAACAGCATCAACACAACTCTCCTAGTTGCTTTCAGTTTCCCGATCGAAGCGTCCTGTCGTGTCCTCCTGTTGCTCTGGCGCCTTGATCAGTCCGTTCCTGTCGACATCGCCGCATCCAGATTGGAGGGCTTACGCCTGAAGCTGGTGGCTTCCAGCCCCCATTTCTGGATTCCAGACCTTTGCCTCGAAGGTTCCACAGCCTCTGAGGCTTCCTGGCCCCACTGACCTCTCCGCTACTGCCAGGTCGCCGAGGGCGAACGGACCCGCAAGATCAGGAGTCCCCTCCCGTCCTATCAGCACGCCTCTGCGATTTCCCCTACTGGCTTCTTCTTATGCTCCAGGAAGGGAAAGCACACAGACACAAATAATCGTCGATTCTGCGGGAAATATGGAACATATGGGAAGTGGAGGGGAAGACGAACATCCAGAAAATATGGACAATATGGGGAATCCTAGGATTTGCGGGTCCCTGGGCGCCTTCAATGCTTTCTGCGCCCCACCAGCCATAGCCCCAGTCCTGCACCTTCCAGGGCGCTTGTCCCCCTGAGATCCGACGTTGCGTAAGAGTTGCAACACCGCAGAAAGCTACGACCTGGGCTCCGAGCCCCATCTTTCTGCCCCGTTCTTCGAGTTGGATCGAGCTGTGAGGTTCCCGTGGCCCGAAACCTGGCGAAAACAACCTCTGTGACAAACAACTGCAACGGCAGGATCTCATGGGGAGGGATGTGTAGCGGTTTCGGGTTACCGTCTCTTTTTCTGAGACACGAGCGTTCTGGCCCGAAAACGCCCGTTGCGGAACAGCTTGCAGCGCCAGGATCTGAGGGGCACTCGTTCTGTCACGTGCCGACCGCGACGCCCTCTTTTTTAGGGAGGGTGAGGTCGCCCGTCTCTCCCGTGAGGGCGGGCCAGGAGAGGACCCACTCTGAGAAGGTGCTCTAACCAGCCTCGAACTTATCTCTACCCCTGACGATCTTAGGGATGTGGCTTCAGAGACAGAGGAAATCCTTAAGGTCGGAAAGAGCGCGTTCTGTGGGCGCTTGGAGGGGCGGGGGTGGAACCAGACCCCCCTCATCTCCTCCCTCCTCCCCCACTTCTCCTCTCTCCCTAAACTCGGGCCAGCGCTGGCGTCGGCGGCGGCTGGCGGCGGCGGCGCCGGCGTCTCTTGGGGCCTCTCTGAGGTGGTGGTGGTGGTGGTGGGTTGTGGTGGTGGTGGTGGCGGTGGTGGCGGTGGTGGTGGAAGTGGTGGTGGTGGTGGCGGTGGTGGCGGTGGTGGCGGTGGTGGTGTTTGTTGTGGTGGTGGTGGTTGTGGTGGTTGTGGTGGTTGTGGTGGTGGTTGTGGTGTGGTGGTTTGTGGTGGTGGTGGTGGTAGTTGTGGTGGTGGGTTGTGGGGTCGGTGTTGGTGGCGGTGGTGGTGTGGTGGTTTGTCGTGGTGGTGGTGGGGTGGTGGTAGTGGTTGTGGCGCGAGGTGGGTTGTGGTGGGGGTGGTTTGTTGTGGCGGTGGTGGTGGTGGTTTTGCTGTGGTGGTGGTTGTGGTGGTGGTTGTGGTGGTGGTTGTGGTGGTGGGTGGTGGGGGTGGTGTTGGTGGCGGTGGTGGTGTGGTGGTTTGTCGTGGTGGTGGTGGTGGTGGTGGTAGTGGTTGTGGTGCGAGGTGGTTTGTGGTGGTGGTGTTTTGTCGTGGCGGTGGTGGTGGTAGTGGTGGTGGTGGTGGTTATGTTGTGGTGGTGATTGTGGTGGTGGTTTGTGGTGGTGGTGGTGGTGGTGCTGGTGCTGGTGCTGGTGGTGGGTGGTGGTGGTGGTGGTGGTGGTGGGTGCTGGGTGGTGGTGGTTGTGGTGGTGGGTTGTGGTGGTGATGGTGGTGGTGGTGGTGGTGGTGGTGTGGTGGTACGTGGTGGTGGTGGTGGGTTGTGGTGGTGGTGGTGGGTGGCGGTGGCGGTGGCGGTGGTGGTGGTGGTTGTGGTGGTGGTGCTGCTGGTTTTCTGGTGGTGGTGGTGGTGGTACTTGTTGTGGTTGTTTTGCTGGTGGTGGTGGTGGCGGTGGTGGTGGTGGTGGTGGTGGTGGTGGTGGTTGTGTGGTGGTTGTGGTGGTGGTGGTGGTGGGGGGTTGTGGTGGGTTATGGTGGGTTGTGGTGGGTTGTGGTGGTGGTGGTAGTGGTTGTGTTTGTGGTGCTGCTGGTTTTCTGGCGGTGGTGGTAGTGGTTGTGGTGGTTGTGCAGGTGGTGGTGGTGGTGGCGGTGGTGGTGGTGGTGGTTGTGTGGTGGTTGTGGTGGTTGTGGGGTTGGTGGTTGTGGTGGTGTGGCCTTTGGGTCTTCCCGCCACCGTGTCTTGGCTTTTTGTCACAGTTCTAATGGATGCCCGTTGGGGTCTCGTCAGAGGGGTCTCGGGGGCGTCTGAGGAGCATTCGTGAGGGCTCCTGGGCGCCTCTTGGGCGTCTCCTGGAACTTGCTCAGGGCCCTGGTGGCTTTTGGGGAGCGACGGCTCGAGATGGCGATTTGTACTTTCCCGCTGCGGCCTCTGGACTCTCTCTTTCTGGTCAGCGTCGCTGCGTTTTGCCGTTCGTGCTGCGGGCCGCCGCTAGCGCAGGTGCCAGCACTGGCACCGAGGGATGGGGAGGGCGGGGGGGTTCGAAATCTCCCCCCCCTGGGAAGCCCGAAGAGACATGATTGGGGGAGTAGAATCCCTACTCCTTTCCTGGTGTGTGTGTGTGTGTGTGAACCCCCATCCCCCGTTGGGAGAGAGGGGGGTGGTTGGGGACGAGGGGGTTACTGTCGGGGGGAGAGGAGTCCCCTGGTTCTGATCGACGGCGCCGAGTGTTGGGGGAGGGCCCCCCCGGGTTCGACCCCTGGGTTCGAAACGTGCCGCCGAATGTTCCCAAGGCAAGCGCCCGTGAAACGCGTTCTCTCTAAGATCGGCACCGAGGCATAGGGATAGAGATCTGTTTCAAACATGCTGCTTGTGCTGCCCTCCTAACTTCTTTGTTTCTGTCCCTCAGCTTGCTTCCTGTCTTCTCGCGTGCTGACCACAGCGCCGCCGAAGCCGCCGCCGGGCTGCGGACGCCGCTGGGCCGCTGGGCCGTCGGTGGCCTGCTCGGTTCCCGCGCCGACGCGGCCTCCCCGCAGGCCCGGCGCTTCGCGCGGACGCTGCTGCAGGCCCACAGACTGGCAGGGCTCATTTCGATTTCGCCAGCTCGATTCGAATTCGATTTCGATCGATTCCGATTCCGATTCGATCCGTCTTCGGATTCGGATTTGGGGTTCTGTTTCTCAGTTGATGCCAAGCCTTATTGGCCTGCCGATTTCCGCCGATTCGACCTCTCCCGACGTGGCTGCCGATTTCAGTCGATCCGATTTGCTTCGATCGCCGATCCGACTTATCCATTCGATTCTGGACTCTCCTGATCCTGTGGGGTGAGGTGGGGGTGCGGGGGCTGGGGTTGAGAGCTATGGCGAGCGAGGGGCTGTCCAGCCCTCATGCATGCGATGGGCTGGCGGTGCGCAGGAGTCGAGGGAGCGCAAAATTGGATGAAGGCGCGCGAGTTAGCGTACAGAGTCGGCGCGCTCCGTCGCCAAGTTTGGCGGCGCTTGCTCCATGTTCTGGGGGTACTTTCCCCGACCCGCGGGTCTGACACCCACGCGTCAGATCCACGGATCCCGGATCCCTGATCCATGCCATCGCGTGCCCGGAGGAGTGGGCAGGGGCTGCATTCTCAGCGGGGGGGGAGGTTCTCAGAGGGGGCCAGGCCCCTGAGACGCCGTGGGTGGCCTCCTGAGAGGCGGTGCCCTCGGAGGGCCGCCAGTGGATTGCCGCCCTCTCGCCCTCTCGCCCTTTTGCTGGGATTTCGCGCCGCCAGCAGAGGGCTGAGGGAAGCAGACAGAGAGGACGAGAAAGACAAAGAGGGGTTCTGAGAGAGAGAGAGAGAGAGAGAGCGAGAAAGAAGGAGAGCGGGCGGCAGGAAGGGAGCGAAGGAGAAGGCAAGACGGAGTGGAATGGGGTGCATAGGTGTGGAGTATATTTCGGCGCGTGCGCGCGATACACCATTCTCCTTAATTTATTACCTAGTGCTTGAAACATCTCATGGGTAAAAACCTCCCTGCAGGGATAGGCTCGCCCGCAATGCTGACGTCAACGTCAGTCTTCCTTGCTGTGCATTGGCGCCCTTTGTCTCGTGGAGGTGCCGCTGGTAGCCTGCAGGGTAACGTCTAAGCAGGCTGGCGCTTCCTGGGATACCCTGAGATCCCGGAATCTTTTTTTTGCCTGGTTTGGGACCCTGGGACCATCATAGATCGAACTGGCCCGAAAGATTGCGCGGAACGATTGGTTTTGGGGCTCGCGCAGAAAGATTAGGTTCGGGGCTCCTGCCGTGATGTTTCAAGATGCTGCATTTTTTTCCGCTACGTCCGACTTCAGGATTGGCACGTTGCGGGTCAGCTTTCAGTCTGTGCCTCGGACTCTCGGGACACCGATCCGTGCTGGGCACGCTCGTTCAGAGAGGCAATTGTGTGTGCGCGCGTGTTTGTGTGTGTGTGTGTGTGTGTGTGTGACGCCGGGCCTGCCGCCGAAGCCGCTACCACAGGGCGTCGGAGTCTCAAGGGCCAGTGTCCTGCTGCTCGACATCAACTGCCCGGAATCGCTTGCTCCTGACACCTGCCAGCGAGCTAAGACCCCCATGGGAATTCTTCACGCTTCGCGTATCCCCACCAGCCCATCTCAAAACAGCAACTCTTGCGAAGCATGCCGACAGTCGTGTTTTTCAGGCTTGTTTCCGCCTGCCCCCGCATATCTCCCCTGTTCCTCCTTCCTCCCGCCTCCTTGTACATCCTCCTTGTGGTGGGAGCGGGAGAAGGACGAGGCGGAGGAGGAGGGAGAGAAAGCGCTCCTCGTGGTTTGAGTCGTTTGGGGTTTCTCGTCCTGGTGTGAGTCGTTCGGGCCCTTCTTCCTGGTGTGAGTCGTTCGGGCTCTTCGTGGTGTGAGTCGTTCGGGCTCTTCGTCCTGGTGTGAGTCGTTCGGGCTTCTCGTGGTGTGAGTTGTTCGGGCCCCTCGTCCTGGTGTGAGTCGTTCGGGCCCCTCCTCCTGGTGTGACTCGTTCGGGCTCCTCGTGGTGTGAGTCGTTCGGGGCCCTCGTCGTGGTGTGAGTCGTTCGGGCTCCTCGTGGTGTGAGTCGTTCGGGCGCCTCGTCCTGGTGTGAGTCGTTCGGGCCCCTCCTTCTGGTGTGAGTCGTTCGGGCTCTTCGTGGTGTGAGTCGTTCGGGCCCCTCGTCCTGGTGTGAGTCGTTCGGGCTCCTCGTGGCGTGAGGCGTTCGGGCACCTCGTCCTGGTGCTACTACTACTACTACTACTACTACTACTACTACTACTACTACTACTACTACTACTACTACTACTACTACTACTACTACTACTACTACTACTACTACTACTACTACTACTACTACTACTACTACTACTACTACTACTACTACTACTACTACTACTACTACTACTACTACTACTACTACTACTACTACTACTACTACTACTACTACTACTACTACTACTATACTACTACTACTACTACTACCTACTATAATATACTACTACTATTTACTTACTTCTTTTACTACAACTTGACTACTACTACTGTTTTTAATACTGCTACTACTTACTACTACTACCACCACCACTACTACGACTATTGCGACTACTACTACTACTACTACTACTACTACTACTACTACTACTACTACTACTACTCTTACTACTACTCTTACTACTACTACTACTACTACTACAACTACTACTACTACTACTACTACTACTACTACTACGACTACTACGAATACTACGACTATGCTGCTTGCTGCTGCTACTACTACTAGTTGTAGTCGTAGTCGTAGTCGTAGTCGTAGCCGTAGGTCGTTAGTCGTAGTAAGACTAGTAGTCGTAGTCGTTGTCGTAGTCGTAAAGTCGTTGTCCGTTAGTCGTAGTCGTAGTACGTAGTCGTTTGTATTTTAGTCGTAGTCGTAGTCGTAGTCGTAGTCGTAGTCGTAAGTCGTATGTCGTAGTCGTTGTGTAGTAGTAGTCGTAGTCGTAGACGTAGTCGTAGTCGTAGTTCGTTGTCGTAGTCGTGTAGTAGTGTAGTCGTAGTCGTAGTCGTAGTTGTAGTCTGTCGTTAGTCGTTTAGTCGTTCGTATGTCGTAGTGTAGTCGTAGTAGTAGTAGTAGTAGTAGTAGTAGTAGTAGTAGTAGTAGTAGTACTAGTAGTTAGTAGTAGTAGTAGAAGTAGTAGTAGTAGTAGTAGTAGTAGTAGTAGTAGTAGTAGTAGTAGTAGTAGTAGTAGTAGTAGTAGTAGTAGTAGTAGTAGTAGTAGTAGTAGTAGTAGTAGTAGTAGTAGTAGTAGTAGTAGTAGTAGTAGTAGTAGTAGTAGTAGTAGTAGATGTCTTTTGGGAGCCTCTTGGAGGCCTTTTGGGGCGTCTTGGGGGCCTCTTGGCGGCCCCAGGGGCTTCTAGGAGCGTCTTGGGTGCCTTGGGGGAGCCTCTTCGGGCCTCTTGGGAGCCTCTTGGAGGCCGTTTGGGGCGTCTTGGGGGCCTCTTGGCGGCCCCAGGGGCTTCCAGGAGCGTCTTGGGTGCCTCGGGGGAGCCTCTGGGGCCTCTTGGGGGCCTCTTGGGGGCATCTTGGGGGCCTCTTGGAGGCCTCTTGGGGCCTCTTGGGGCTCTTTGGGAGGGGTCTGGGAGGTATCTTGGGGCCATCTTTGGGGCGATCGATCACAGCTGGGGCGAGCATTTTTGTCAGTACCCCCGTCGGGGCCACGATCCTCGTGAGGGGTGTCGAATTTTAGCCCTCCCAGGGATAGAAAAAGGACCCTCTGACCACCCGCGAAACCCCCTCTCCAGGTCCAGGGGGAGGGGGTAGGGGGAGGGGTAAACCCCTCCCCGAAGGGGAAGAAGGGGGGTTGAGAACAGAGAGCTCGCTAAACCACTCACGCCCAAAGGGCTGGTGGGACTCAGCCCTCCTGCGCGCGCCTCCCTCAGCAGGTGCTTCTCAGAGTCTCCAGGTCGCTGCCCGACCAGTCTGGTGCGCCGCCCGAGACGGGCGCGGCCGTGCCCGCCAGGGAGGACATGGACGACTTCGTGGATAGGACCCGGGGCGAGAACCCCAGGGGAGTGTCCGCACCTCCCCGTAGTTGCTCTGGCCCCCCCCCCAGCTGGCACACCCCAGCCAAGGGGCGGGTGGAGTGCCGCAGGTGGTGTCCCTACCAGCAGCGCTCGCTGGTGAGGGAAGTTGCGGTCTTGCCGCCGCTCAGATGTTTTGTGTTCAGCCACAGGTAGACAGTGGACAGCATCCGAGAGTTTTGGCTTGCTTGCTTGTCAGCTTGCATTCCTCCTCCTCCTCATCTTCCTCCTCGGGGTCGAGGGGGATCGGGTGTTTCGCTTCTTGGATCGAGTGGGATCGAAGAGGATCGAGGTGGGGATCGAGGAGGGGGATCGAGGAGGACCGTACGAGATCTGCTGCCTGCAGCTGGTTCGAGCCCGGCCGCCCGGCCAGCGCTCGAAGGCCTCTCGTTGTGGTGGCAGTGCGCTGTCGGCAGGCCGGCGGCGCTTCGTCGGGATCCGATCTTACACAGTCGGTGATTACTAAGGGAATGGTTACGCTGGGGTGTGGTTTGCGATCGGCGATCGGCACCGTCCTGGGGAGCACGACACGTCGGGCCGCCCTGGGGTGCGGCGGAGAGCCCCGTCGAGGTTCCCGCCCGCGAGTGCCCCCCCCCGGGTGCCCCTGCAATCCGCACACTTTGCAAGCCACACCTTTCGGAGCCGCCGAGTCTTACACCGGCTGAGTCGGCCACGCCTGCTGCCGACGGTGATTCGGCAGGGGGTCGGGGCGCTAGGGGTGCATCGGCGTTTAAGGGAGCGGGCGGGCGGGAGGAGAATGCGCCGAGCGGTGCAGAAGGGGTTGGCCTGGTGGAGGCAGAGGGGGCTCATGGGCCGAAAGGATGGACGGGGCCTCGATGAGGATATGGGGGAGGGGGGGGGCGGCTGCGAGGAAGGCGGGGCGAGCATGGGGTCTGCGACCAGACTGCTGGTGTGGCTCCCAGAGGCCACGATCGGAGCGGCACTCGCCCGCTGACTCGTCGGCAGTCGCCGCTCCTCGGAGACCTTCAGATTCACACCACCAGCAGGGTCGGGAGGTCGCCGCCACCGAGGGAAGATGATCCCCGACCTCGGTGGTGGTGGTGGTGGTGGTGGCGGTAACCCGTTCAGTCGGGATTGTTTGCTTCGTGTGTCGCGCCGCCAGTTCTGGCCCACCAGTCTTCGGCTCGACGCGCTAACTCAGCCACGTGCATAGGGGGGTGGGGGAGGGGGGATGATGGCTTCTTAGAAGGAAGGCGCGGGCCTTAATTTATAGATATATCGGAATGCTGGGTCCTTCCAAGAAGCAGCCGTCCTTCCAAGAAGACTTCCCCCTTCCCTCCACCCCCATGTGCGCTCCGTCAACTGACCATGCTTCCATTTCCAAGAGTCAGCGTCCCGAGCTTTCCCAGCGTCCCGCCCTTCGGAGCGGAGCAACACGCTATCAGCTCGCAGGGCATAGCGTGTCGTCGGGGCCGCCGCCGCGAACCTTCCTGACCGTAGAACTTAGGCCACCTGACCTGGCGCCTGGCGCCGACCCAGGATATCCGCGCGGACCTCTGAGCGCTTGTGATCGTCTTTTTTGTTTTCCGCCGATTCTCGGCGGCCCGGGCCTCCCTCCCCCTCCTCCGCGGCCATTCTATGCTTTTCTACCCGCTGCAGTGCGCCCAGTGTCCCGCGCGGCCCGCCAGCTCTGCGGTCGCGCTCGCGTTCGCCCGCGCTGCGAACAGTAAGTGCCCGTGCCTTTTGTGCTCCTCTGGGTGTGCAGACCTCCGGGCCCCGGCCCTCCCGAATCGGCTACGGGCAAGAGTGACCCTTCGCCGGAGTGACCTCCTGGCACGGGCCAACAGGGATCCTGCCAGCACTGGCCAGCGTGCCTGGATGTCGTTGACCTGGCCCCCCCCCCCGCGGCCCCCCAGAGCCGCGCACCAACGGTCCCTCTTGCCGGGGGTCACTCCTGCGTGCAGCCGGCCGCCCCCCGCGCACCGCACCCCGCGGCAGGATGCGCGGCCGGCAGCCGCTGGACCTGCCCGAGGTGGCCGCGCGCATCGGCCTCGCCGCCGCACCCGCGGGCTGCAGCAGGACGCCCCACCCCCCCACTGAACCGTCGGCGCTGGCGGAAGCCTCGCTGAAGTGGCGCTGGCGGAGGCCTCGCTGAAATCCTCGTGAGAGCTGTAGGCACACACACAACACATATATCGTGATATTCTCCTTTCTCTCCTGGCCAGTACCGACAGTCTCGATGATCCTCCACAGGATGATGAGCCCCTGATGGGCTGTGCACGGTAGTGCTCTGTGAGCACAGACGCGCTGGCGTGTATACCGGTAGCTTGCTACCGGCTCAAGGGCGCCCTGGTCCGAAATGGCCGTGGTTAGTACCGCTCGCGTCGGTCCCTGGGCACTCGCATCGGTCGGCCAACAGCATAAACATTTACACAGAGGGAACACGGCTTTAGCACGACCGATCTGAAAGTTCATTGTAACTAAGTGCGTCGCGCAGCGACTAGATATATACAAACAAAACTGCATTGACCGCATGTCGCGCAGCGACTGGATATGTAAATACAACTGCATTGCCCATTAGCACACCCATCCACTCGTACTGTGAACAGCTGTCCCCTGAGCTTCCTTAGGAATGGCAGTGACCACGTCCCGCATCTCAGTGGCTGCTCGAAATCGACCTCTGCACCTTGCTGTTGTGAAGAGTGCACTCCCCTGCCCCTCTGCCGCCCGTGCCACCATGTGTGTATGTTGTACACGCTTGTCTTGTTTTGTGGCATGCACGCTGCCCGCCGCTGTTTTGGCCCTAGTCCTAGGGCCCTGGGACGCACCCGCAGTTGGACTGCCGCGCGGTCTTTGCTGAAAACAACTGCACTGACATTGGTAGCGGAGCTAGTAAGCTCCAGCGGACGCACTGCGTGCTCTGCTTCGGTGGTTGTGACCACCCGCGTGGGCCGCCATGGCCACCAGCCACGACGGCTCAGACGTGGAGGCTGCGTCCTCCGCAGGCACAGGTCCCCCGGACCTGCATGCAGTCCTGCGCGTGATGGCCGAGACCCAGCGGGAGCTCTTGGCCTTGCATCGGGATCGTGGCGACGGCGGTCCCAGACGTACACGTCTACTGCTGTCGCAGGTGAGGCTCCCAGAGTTCGATGGTGGAGTCGGTACGAGTACTAAGAAGTACCGAGAGTGGCGCAAGGAGGTTGAAGTCATCCGCAACCTCAATCAGCTCTCAGACGTGGAGCTGGGCCTGATCATCTACAGTCAAGTGACAGGTCGAGCCAAAGAGCTCATCGAGGTGCTTGACGCGTCGGACCTCCGACGCGAGGAGACGCTCGAGACCATCTTTGCTATCTACGACGACGCCTTCGAGAAGATGGATCACGAGCGCCTCGATCAGGTGCATCAGGATTGGGAGCGAGCACACCGTCGAGCTGGGCAGCCGATCATGGATTGGACCACGTACCTGCGCAAGAAGCGCATGGAGTTGCAGCTCGAGGATCCCACATCAGCGATCAGCGATCGCGCATTGGCAAGCAAGATGCTTCGTGGCGCTGGACTGTCGCAGAAGGAGCGAGCGCAGGTGCTCTTCAACTGTGGCGGCATCTACGACTCGAAGCGGATGGAGGTTGTGCTGAAGGCAGCCTATTCGAAGGTGCACGACACCGAGAAGCGCTCAGTGCTCCCTCGCCGCTCGCCGTTTGCGGCGCAGCGTGAGCACGGGCGCTCCTCTGGGAGTTCGGGCGGTCGCTATCCGCGCCCTCCCATGGCTCGTAGGCCATGCGTGCTGCGAGGACGCCCTGGCCAGCACGTACACGAGGTAGAGAACGGCGAAGACTACGATGAACACCACGGCGACCTCGAGGAGGCGCAGCATGACGAAGATGAAGCAGACGACCAGGACGATGGAGACCATGGAGGGGCCGAGGGCACCCTCTTCGAGGACGGCGCTGAGGTCGACGAGGAGCTGGTGTCGGACAACGACGGGCCTGACGACGAGGAGTACGAGGCACCGGAGGATCTTCAGGAAGCGTTCTTGGCCGGCTGGAGGGCCAAGCAGAAGACGGCGGTACAGCGTCAGAAGCGCGGGTTCGTTGCTCCTCGGCAGCGGGACCCCAAGAAGATCAACGCTAGCGGCTCCTTCCAGGCTGGTCGGAAGCCGACAGACCAGCGCAAGGCTAACAGCCGGTGTGCTGACTGCGATCAGCCTGGCCACTGGCGTGGCGACCCGGAGTGCCCCAAGGTGAAGAGTGGCGAGCGCGAGCCGTACAACAAGATCGGGCCTAAGAATGGCCAGCCAGCGTCGCCCAACCAGCGGACCTCTGTGAAGCCGCCGGCGCCTAGGCAGGTGCATGGACCGATCGTCCACTGGGTTGGCATGGCAGGCAGTGCCGAGGAGCGTCGTGGCCGCGCTCCATGGCGCCGTGCTCCCCAGTCGGTGCCTGCCCAGAGGCATCCAGTGGAGGGTCGAGCGGACGCGCCAGAGCGGATCATTATGCACCCCAGGCCCAAAAGCATGCCTGCGCCGAGCCTACGCCAGGACGCCGACGACGGCCCAGGGGCCGCACAGAGCAGTGATGAACGCGCGCGCGCCCGTGCCAGGCGCGGGGAGGATCAGGAGGACGAGGATGCTGTCGTGCGTTGCCATCGCATTCTGGCCAACACCCACGCAAAGGGGCACAGCGTGGAGTTGGAGTTTCCTGACCTTGCCACGGTCCATCACATCGTGGAGCGCGTGACGAACAAGAAGCCTATCTTCTTCAAGCAAGGCCGCTTCGAGAGCCTCGACTTCGTCCAGGGTCGGCTCGTGCGCCTGCAGCTGACCACATCGAGGCCTTGTACGGCGGCTGAGGTGGATCTCGACGAGATCACGGCAACTATATTCAAGATCGTGATGGGCGGCAATCGTGATACCAAGCCCCGTGACGATCGGCGCGGTGAAGGCGGGAGTCGTGACACCAAGCAGCGTGAAGATCATCATCGAGATCGTCGGGGCGACCGCCAGCGTGATCGGGGAGCTGTTCTTCGCGAGCCTCGCGCCCCTCCTCCGCCCGAGGCGGAGGCTTCCTCGCGTTCAAGGTCGCGGAGTACACCAGGAGGCCGCGGTGTGAAGAAAGAGAAGCGGAGTCCACCAGAAGACCGCGGTGAGAAGGAAGAAAAGGAAGAAAAGAAAGAGAAGAAGAAGAAGGCGAGGAGCAGCAAAGAAGAGAAGAAAGAGAGAAAGAAGGCAAGAAGCAGCAAGGAGGTGAAGAACGAGGACGAGGCCAGCGAGGATCCTGAGGCCACCGAGGACGACAACGACCAGCGGCGTGAGGATAAGGAGGTGCCGTTCACGCCAGAGGAGATGGACGAGATCTTCTGCAGCTGGTATCCGCGTCAGGATATCTTCAGGGATTACCTGACGCCGCCGGCAACCATCCACTTCATCGCTAAGAACGATCGCATCGTGCGCCTCAATCTCTACACGCGCCGCTGCGAGAAGCCATATGTCTCCTTATCCAGCGGCCCTGCGAGGGCCCATCCCGTATACGTGGTGGAGGCGTCGGCAAAGGGAGCATCGAAGACCAAAGAATCCCCAGACGGAGCTGTGCCTGGACTAACGTCTGCCGCTCCGACTGGGGAGGCCGCCGCTGTCCCTAAGGAAGAGGACTGGGTCATGGCAGGAGCCTCCGAGGAAGTGAGAAAGAGCGAGGAAAAGAAGCGACTAGAGGTTTTGCAGCGTGATAAAGCTGAGTTGCTGGATCGCCTCGCGCTGATAGAGAAACAGGAGATGGAGATGCACGCCCGATTGAACCCATGCGAGGTCTACGACGGCCTACAGAAGCGACGTGAGCAGGCACCTCTGCCAGAGCGTGCCCTGCCCACATCTCCTGAGCAGCAGGGAGTCGGAAGCGTGTGGAAGAACATGGAGGCAATGCGACGGCGTGTCCACCTTCCAGCGCCTCCAGGAGCCGCGAGCTCAGGTGCCCCTGCCGCTGCGACGGCATCTTCAGCTGCGTCTGGAGCCCCGCGTGTAGTCACCGCCTCTGGACGGAGCTACGTCATGAGTGTCGGTGCCACGCAGAGTGACCTGGAGAAGCAGCAGATGCATCGAGCCATGTACGACTCGCAGTTCGACGGCGAGAGGCTGGTTCCAGGCCCGAAGGCGAAGTTCGACCCAGAGCTCATGCAGCAGCAGGCTGAATGTGTTCATCCTGTGAGCGAGTTGAAGTGGCAGTCAAACGGCACCGTGATCTTCGCGAAGTGCAAGAAGTGTTCGCTGAAGTCGGTGATTCATTACACGCTGGAGAAGCCCAAGAAGGATGAAGGGGAACCGTCCAAGAACACCCCAGACGGAGCTGTGCCAGGACTAACGTCTGCCGCCCCGACTGGGGAGGATGTTGCCGTCAAAGGGGGCGCGGACCCCTGGGCAGCAAAGGGCGCAGACCCTTGGGCAGCAAAAAGGGGATCTGCGGCCCACATGGTCACCGCCCGAGAGGAGTGCCCCCGCAAGGTGGTAGATGAGCAGTCCGTCATGCTTGTTGTCTTGCCCGCGGGGCTGGCTATGATTGACACGGGCTGCAAGCGGGCTGTCGGTGGACGTCCGTGGCATGTCGAGCTGCAGAAGACTTTGGATGCCATGGGCGTGCCGTACCACAGCATCAATCAGCGCGAGTACTTCAAGTTCGGCCCAGGCGTGCCGCTCTTGTCAGAGCGTGCGTGGTGCTACACAGTCGGCATCAACGGTACGCAGGGCGAAGTTGTGATCTCCGAGGTCGATGCCGAGGTGCCAGGTCTCATCGGCCCTGATGAGATGGCAGAGTGGGGCGCAGCAATCAGCTTCAGGAACGGTACTTTCACGGCGAATGGTGTGACCAAGCCGTTGGTCCCGGCTGCGTCCGGGCATCCGTGCGTGTCATTGCTGGATTTCCCGGCACCGGTCACGAGTGCCTTCCCCGTCGGACAGTCCGAGGAGCAGGACGAGCTCGCAGACGAGATGTTCAGCGGAACTGCGAGTCACGAGGAGAAGGATGAGCGCAGCGTCGCTGAGACCGTCGAGGAGGAGGACTCGCACGATTCTGACAGCAACGACGGCCAGGACG